GCTCACATTCTCCCGCGCCGCCGTGGCCTTCAGCTCGGTGTACCGGTTTCCTGGCAACAACTCCCTCCGTTCCGCCTCCGCATCTCGGCGCTCTGGCGGGGCCGTGTGGCAGTCCCCGGGCGCCGCTGTCACCAACCGCTGCCGAAATTCATCGAAAGACTCCGCCTGCTCCTCCCGCAAAACTTCATCCTCAATTTTAAGAACAACCTCCTCCCACGGCAACGTCATCAGACGCTTCAAAAAACCTTGCTCCTGCTTCATCGTGGGCGGCGGCGGCAAGAATCGCCTGTACGAGCGAAAGCTCGGCGGTGCCGGTGCATAACGCGCGTCCAAAAACGGGCTGCACACATGAGGGCGGGGTGTCTCATCGCTGGCGGCGGGGAGAAGGACAAGGTGTCCAAGGGGCGCGCCGCCCCGGCCTATAATATAAATGTGCAGGCCGCAATCTTCCACAGGAACAAGACGGATGCACAAGTCATCGTTGTCGGTAAAGTGAGTCATTGCGTGAGGCTCCATCAAAGGCTCGGCGGTGCTCAAATCTAGCAGATTAACCCACCACCATTTATTAGCGTCCTTGGCGAGAACAAGTGCCGCATTGAAAACCGCGCAAAACACTACATGCTCGATAGAACGACCATTCTCAACGCGACAAACTGTCGCAGGACCCATCTCACTTCCACTAGTCGCCAACTTCGAGGCACAGAAGAAACCAATCTCCTTCTCGTTGTACAACATCACGGTTTCTTGTCCACCTTGAGTGATACTACCACCGTCACCATGACTCGGCACTGTGGGTTCCATTTCATCCTCTTTTTCCCGCGAATGCCACACAAGGATGCTATATGGCCAAGGCTGCTCTTCCTCCACCGCAGCAATTCGACCAGAGGGTACCAAAGTTTCTCCAAGAGTGTATTCTGCGTCTGTTGTCACTGCCACCACTTCGCCTCGCACAATCTTGAGTCCAAACACAATCCTGAATGCACCTGCTGGGGCGAGCGGGTGCCACACCGCATCTTCTTCATTCCGTCTCAGGCACCATCCACCAGATGCATCCGAGCCATGGCGTACGCAAAGGGGAAGGAGGAGTCGGCCAAGAATGTCGCGCAAAACGACACGCCCTTCGCTTCCTTCAACCGGATCAGTAGCGATTGCATTGTTACTGCTGCAAATGCGGGAAATAGCGACCGTAATGCCACCAAACTCCGATGTTGTAGAAAAGCATGTTTCCTGTGGTCTCGTAATGACTTTATTGTAGCGCCATTCACCATAATCGGTGCATGGAAAATACGACAGAAGCCGCATGCGGCACATATCCCACACAATCACTCCCTTTCGGTCAGAGAGGGTGGAAATTAGGGCCAAACACTCCACTCCGTCCCTTCCACCATTCGCGTGGTCAGGTGAACTTTCCAGCATCGTCCAAACAGTGTCGAATGACGTCACACTGGTACCGGCAGGAAACAACCCGCTGGGATAACGCACCATCTGGGGCGGCTCCTTCTCTCCATCCTTGGCATCGCTCAAGTCTACCAGGGCCAACGAGTTGTCGCTCAACTGGAGAAGGATACTCCATCCACTGCGGCGCAATTCAAACGATAGCGGCGCAGTATTAGATTTCACAACACGGCACTCGACTAAAACCGCCTGTTGTGCCAAAGCAATCCCACTTCCAGTGGAAGCCGCATCTGGCATGAGGCAGTCCTTCGAAAGCACCATGAGACGTTCCACTCGCGGTGGTGTAAGATGCACAGCGAACACAGAGACCGACACCTCGTCTGCCACAGCGCGCAGTATCAATTCGGTGCGCTGAGGAAGTCCTGGCATTGCCCTTTCAAGTATGACAAGCTGCCCGCCACCCCCAGAAGGGGTGCAGGAGAGGCATGCGGCATGCTGGCGTATCACGTCGTATGGAACAGGAACGCACTCATTTGAAAGGGGTAGGAAGCATATACCATCGCTTGGTCCATCAGGCAACACCCCAAGGAACGCAGCGATGTCACCTCTTTTTGCCACATCACACGCATCGCCTGACGTTGCGCCACGCAGAAGAGCACTCCACGGATCCGCCGCACCTTGCGTCTTGTCCAGAGCACCCCACAGCACATCCATCGTTTCCACAGATGGTGCCACGAGGAGCATTTCACTCCATGGCGCAGCTCCGTGCGGAAGGTCCCCCAGCTCCGTGACGCGCTCCACATTCCGCCTTGACCGACATCGTTCTATCAAGAGCGGCCCGCAGTCATCGCTTGTCATAATGAGTGTGTCCAGGTCTGTTTCGGTCCATGCGCCTAGCCAGTACATGAACTGAGAACATGGAATGACACGTTGGACTGCAAATTCCTCCTTGGCATCCAATGCGGTATTTGGCTGCAACCGCATTGCTGTCACATGGGCCAGTATGTCCTCGCGCTGGAGAATTTGCTTGCCCTCCACGTCCACCACCAGCTCCACCACCCCCTCCGCAGAGTACAGGAGAAAGTACATATGGCATTTCTTGTCTGATTGCACTTGTACTAACGATCCTGCACCACGTGCGATGTGAAAGCCGCACAATGGCGTCACCCCCTCCTCTACTTTTGCCTCACTGGCTGTCTCTACGGAGGAGGGGAGGTGACACAAGATATCCACCGCCCAGAAAAGCTCCACACGCCTGTCCTTTTTCTTCTTTCCATTCTCTGACCATATGAACACCGTGGATGCGTCAAAGGTTATTGCGGTGATGTAAGCACCACCCGGAGTTACTCTGCAGGCCGCAATGCCGGAGTTCTTCACTGCATCTGACGCGCTAAAGAAACTCGACAAACGATTCTCGTCCAAGTACCACTTGCAGACACCAGGGACACCGGCAATCACCGCAACAAGGGCGTTAGGGTTCGTCGGGTAGGTGTCAATCGTGTAAATGTGCCCACACGACGCCGGCGCTGGTGTGGGAAGAAAAGCGCGGCAAAAGCCTAGCACATCGGTCGTCAGTGCAGCCCACGACAGAACGGTTCTTCCATCCTTATGTTTCAGCTTCCAGTACATGACGGAGCCGTTGCGGCAGCCAACAGCACCCCATGTCACACCTTGGGGTACGTGAAGGCATGCAAACAACGCCCCATTTCTGCCCTGGGGGAAGAGACCTGACGAGGAACTGCGCTGCCCATAATCAACGAGGAGCAAGCATTCCGAAGAAAGCAGCAAAAAACTGGAAGTTCCAGCAAAAATGTGGCATTCCAACCAGTGAACGCATTTCCGGAGCGGCAGCGACACCCGCCGGCGGCCGCGCGCCAGCACGACAGCCGGCACATTGTCCCCCACACAAATAAGGACCTCCAAAATTGGGTCATAGGCACACAAGTGGTACATTGCGTAGTTGATCGTCTCGTCGCTGCAGACCACACTACTGCGGTCTGGCTTGGCAGCAGCAGTGGGAAGAGGTGTGGTGGGCGCCTTTGAGTCCCAGAAACGAATCTTGTTAACAATCCGTTCCATTTCCCTTCAATGCGTGTGGCGACAACTAAATCCGGTCTGTTTCTTTGTCTCTCTCTCTCTCTCTCTCTCTCTCTCCGTCCCTCCCACTCTACTACTTCTCTTGTATAGAAATACTTCTGGCAGCAGCAGAAACAAAACAAAGAAAAAAAGAGGGATACACAAGTGCGGTGTTCGCCCGCGAAGGAGCGGGCAGAAGCAACGCCCAACATGTGCACTCAGCCCCCGAAGCCGCGTTACCGTTTTTTTGCAGCCCAAGCAGTGGCCATTGCCTTCCAACCCCCCGCCTCCTCTCCCTCCGCGAAGCCAAAGAAAGAACCAGAAAGAAAAAGAAAGGGAAGCAGGCAGGGCTGAAGCGCGGGCTNCCCCCGCCTCCTCTCCCTCCGCGAAGCCAAAGAAAGAACCAGAAAGAAAAAGAAAGGGAAGCAGGCAGGGCTGAAGCGCGGGCTTCTATTGCCTACGGCAACTGGCGAGACTTGACTGGCAGCGCTGCAATGCGTCAGACACCGTTGTGTAGCGCTGGCGGAGGGAATCCATCGCGGCCTCCGCTGCACCCACAGCATTGGCACTAGGGGAAGCAGTGAGATAGCTTGCGGATAATATTACCACAAGAATACAAACGAGAGAGAACAAGATCAGCTTACGTATACGTGACGATGCGGCAAGGCGTAGTTTACGCGCTGACATGACGGCCTCAGAGACAAACTGCTGCCGTACACGCTCGGATGGCGCTGCGTATAATAACTCGAATGCAGATACGGCGGTGTTGTTGAGCGAACTCTCAGGTGCTGCAGGCGGCCCGGTGCTGAAGTTTACAGATGCCGGCGTGTTATCCACCTGCAGCCGCTGCACGAGAGCCGCAGACTTCTCTGCCTCCAGCTCACGAATACGGCCCTCAAATATCCTGGCCTTTGCGGCCTGTTCCTCACGATAGTAGGCGAACTTGGCGCTCTGTGCTATCAGCTCATCCAGCTGCACCTGCAGCTGCCGTATCGTATGATCTTTGGTGTGGAGCTGCGCCTGTTGCGTTTCCATCAGACTGCGGGCAGAGCTGCACTCACGTTCGAGAGCCGCAAGTTTGTTTGTGACCTCCTCCGTGACCGCTGCATTCTTGGCACTGAGCAGCTCCGTCTCACCGTGGATGGTCTCCAGCTCCATCACCCGCTGGCGTGTGCAGTGGTGTGCCTCTTCCTCCTCCCGCAGAAGTCCCCGAAGCTTCTGCCGTTCCTCCTCCCTTGAGAGGACTTCCTCCTCGCGGAGTTCAATGAGGCGCTGACTCTGCGCCTGCATAAACTGCAGTTCGCTTATCATCCGCTGGGCTTGGTCTAACTCTCGTCGAAGGTCTTCAATGCAGTCCACCTGTTGTCGCTTATCCTCGCGTTCCTCCTGCAGCGCTGTCTCGAACGCACGACACACGCCAAGCTGCTCCTGAAAGACCCGATCGCGTTCACGGAGAAGAGACTCGTAGTGTGCTTGCTGTTGCTGCAGTGTCTCGTTGGCCGTCTTGGTGAGAGATTCTGCTTCGTCCGCCATCAGAGCTTGCTTTGCTAATGTCTCGCGCTCGCGCATCAATGCCTGCCCGTACTCTTCGCGCTTGTTCTCCGCGAGCTGCTTCGCCTCCTGCAGCTCTCGCTCCAGACGTGCCGCCGTGTCCTCCTTCTGTCGTATAGCAAGGCGCAAGTCCTTTTCTTTGAGTGCGTGCTCTTCCCCCTTCGTCTCTATCGTGTCCTCAAGCTGAGCCGTCTTGGATCGCCACGTGTCGATTTCCGTCTTCAGTTGAGCAATCTTCTTTCCCGCCTCCATATTTTCCCATTTTGCGTCCTCCAGCTGGCGTTGGTAGCGTCCTTGCTCCGCCACCAGTTCTGCCCGCAACTGTTTCTCACGCTGCAGTGCTGCCGCAAGCTGTGCCTGTAGCTGCAGCAACTCCTTGTTGGCTGCAGCGGCTCTCAACTCGTCCTGTGGGGTGTGCTCACCCGCTTCGGTGCCGCCATTGGGCTCAGGCTCCGTCTTCTCCTCCGCCACCAATGCGACTGCGTTTGTTACTGCTGTTGTTGTTTCTACCGTTGTAGTTGCTGCGGCGGCTGTCTCAGAGTTCTCATTCAGCTGCTTCTCAAGCTGTTCATTCCGCTGCCGCATTGTCTCTTTGAACCGCTCAAACTGGTGGCAGAGCTCCTGTACCTCCTCCTTTTTAGCTGTCTCTGCCGCCACCCGCGCGTGCTCTGCCTCTAGCCGCCGCTTGTGTGTCTTTTCAACTTCCTCCAACGCCTCGTGGAGCCGTGCCTGCAGGTCCGCCACTTTGGACTCCATTTTCGTCACATATGTCTCGTCAATCTTCCCCGACGCCCCCGCTCGACGCAGCTCCTCCAGCATGCGCTTATCTCCCAAGCGCTGCTCCATATTCTGACGCCTCTCCCTCTCTGCCGCCCGGCGATATGCGTCGTACTCTGATCGAAGTGTGGTTGCATCGGCCAGTAGATCGCTGTACTTTTGTTTTTGTTCTTTCAGGTGATCCTGCAGTTGCGCCACACGTGCAACTAGCTCTCCCTTCGTTGCGTCACTATTCAGCTCCGACGACGTCGACAGGCGGCGCACGGCAGAGGGCTCCTCGCCAAGCTCCATGAGCCGTTGGAACAGCCCGGCCATGGCTCCTTGCCTTGTATACTGTCACGGCAATGCAGCGCCTTCCACCTTCTCCGCTGTCTTCTCCCTATAATATATATAGATATATGTGCGTGTAAATTACTATAAGAGACACTAGCACACACACACACA